TACGAGATCATTCTGAATGGCCCTTTTCATATAGAAAGTACAAAGAGAGCTTGATGTTTTCCCTCTTAACTGATTGTTTTGGATAACAACCTCCGACAGCACGCTGCTAATTCATTCTACTTAAAACAGGCGCTTGAGCTGGGCTGACATTTTACGCAGTCTCTGGGGATCCTGGTTGACATTTTAAAGGGCTTCTAAGCATTTTATAATACCCTAAAATCTGGTTTTAATAAGCCATTCTGCTGAAATTGTTAACATAAGGAATCACCTTTTACTATTTGGCGCTAGATCAGGGAGATATGGGGACATCTTTTTCTGATTAGATATACAGTAGTTGGAGTAAAATGTGCAAATTCATTACAGATCCTGTTGAGGTGACAGACAGTATAGCTGACTCCAAACTCTTTCTGTTTTGCTGCCAGATATGGGGAAAAGCAAGGTCTGAGGCAGTAAGAGATGGTGTTTCTATTTCTTTCCAGCATCATATTTAATTTTTTTATTCCACCTGTGCAATGGAGAGGGATGTCCTGACATCTTCTTTCTTAACAGAAATCTTACAAAGGTCTTCCCTCAATTGCAAAAGGCCAGTTTTTTGAAGTCAGCAGGGAGCTCTCTGTTAACTGGCGTAGGGTGAGCAACTAGAAGCTTACAGCTCAGCCAGGTATTAGGGTCTCTTTATTAGAAAGCCACAATTTTTCCTTACCTTTTTTTTAGCAGCACTGCTACACATTGAGGTCAGAGAGCTCATTGTCACAGGGAGTAGCTTAGATGGAGTTGTCACCGATCAAGGGTCATTTTTGTAGTAAAATGAGAGGAGGTGCCCTTCCCAGCACTAGAATTCTCTAGGGATTATGTTTGACACTGTGGTATTATGTTTTGAGCATAAAAATTAGATACATGGATTTGTCACTAAATTCATCTGTGCATACGTTTGTCATCCATCTGTTCATTGCAACTTAAACTTGCGGAAAATGATTTTTTTTAGTACATTGTTAAAAAAGTGCTAAAATGGGTCTGCTGGACCGTATCGATTTAATAATGCATTGTTTAGATATTTTTGTAAATATTTTAATTAATTTCACTGACAAATCTACGTAAAGAGATTAAGAAAAGATGAAGTTAGGTACTAACTTCAGAAATTCTCTCGTGGATGTGTAAGTGTGTGAATACAAAGCTACACACATACCTATACATGATACAAGTGTTGGTGTATGTGAGGGTATTTTTTAAATGTAAAAAATCAGCCTGATTCAGATACTCAGACTGAAAAATGTCAGTCTAATGGACTAAAAGTTAGGCAGTATTACAAACAGCTTGTCAGAGAAACTTGGCTTAAAATCAGCGGTAAGTAGAACCCATAACCCCACCTGGTGCTTGCATGTGCGTGCCCAAGCACAAGTGCCGGGGCGCAGATGGGGACATCTCTCTTCTGCCCTGCACTCAAAGAGCTGGTCTCTACAGCCGTGTTCACAGTCGTTGTGTGGGCACAGCTCTAACGGCCCTAGCTCACTTTGTGGGCAGGAGCCATGTTCGGTGCTGCAAAGTCCTACAGTTTTCTCATTTATCTCCTAACTACTTCAGCCACCAAATCAGGGAGAATTGTGCGAGAATCCCGCTTGTTACTATGTATGCATCCAGGGAGGGGAATAAGTTCTTGTTTTCATAGTCAAGGAGAAAAGCCTTGCATACTTGACCCGCTCAAAGTTTTCTAACACAGATGGTGAGCAGAAAGCTCACCCAAGAGTGTAAATCTTCCCTTAAAAAGGAAGATTTTTCAAGATTCTTCAGTCACACCTGGCTTGGGCTTGGGCTTGGCATTGTGCATAGGTACCCGAGCCTGCCTGCATGTATTTATAGACACATGAAACAATGGCAGATAAAGCTATTACAAATATGTTTTGTCCAAACACAAGTTATTTTTAACCAGTTTTAAAATGTTGATTGACAATACTCGTTCATAGCTTAGCTTGCCTGTGGTGCAAATTCAAATATCAGTTTTGTATTCTTCAGACTCTAAAAATTTCAGATTAAGACCAATCAGAGAGCTGGTTGGATTTTGTATATTACTAAGAAAATAAGGGAAAATTATAAGATGTAAAAAACAGTGATTTATCATCAGAAAATTTGCCCTTTTCCAAAATTTATTTTGGCAACATTTTTTGTTTAATTATTTGTGATACTTCAAAACATACTAGTAAATTACATTTCGTATATCTTGTAAAAACAGTAAAGTCATAGTAAGAGGATGTATCACTGCAGAAGGCAGCTATTAAAAATTTGCTAGGAAGAGAGGTGAGACTGCCACGATTTCTGTTGTATTTCGTTTGCAGCTTAGGAGGGAAAAACATAACTACTGACATTTATCTATAAATATTGTATGTGTAACTGTACGTACAAATATTATGCATTGAAATTTGAGTTTTTATGGCCCTGATCCTGCAAAGACTTACATGTTTGCCTAACTTCACCCACTATTTACAGATCCTTTGACATGAGGAGGTAGGAATCTACCTGCCCAGATCTGACTGTAGGATTGCAGCAAGTGAGCTATCACAGTGAAAGAGGAATTGTGCTGGGATAGAACATTTTCATGGCAATTTTGCAACAACTGATTTTAATTTCTACCTTTCTGTCTGTCCATCTGTCTCAAAATATATCTGAGTTCCTACATTGCGGGTCCCCTCACAGCACGTAAAGCAAATGTCAAGATTTGTTTAAAGATTGAGGTTTTCAACTTTATTATTCA